GCATGATAAAAGAAAGAAGCACTCGGAAACCTGTTTTTAATCTAAGGAACTTTAATATCCAGAACTATTATCAGCAGTAAATAATAGCAACGACAGTACCCATGCAAATATACCTACTCATCAATCCGTATTGAATTATAAAAACAAGTATTGGCTAATATTCACGATCACGTGATAAAAATAATAGGCAGATCTTAAAATAGCAATATTCGTACGGCATCAATAGCAAAGGCCCTTTCTCCAGTATTTGTACGGCAATAGAGAATGTGAAGCTGGTAAATGAGCGAAGACCTTAGGTCAAATTTGTTTTTGAAACAGAGAAGAGATCCAGCAGGTAGTCTGCGGATTTTTTTGCAAGTACATTGTGAATAAATAAGATCTGGTGCACAAGCCGTCTAACATTAAGAGATGTTAAGTTTGACCCAATGTAGAGATCACAGTGGTGAGTCCTATATGGGCTGTTCAATGCAAATGTTAAGGCCGAGTGATAAATGGAATTAAGCTTCTTCAGTACAGTACTTGGGGCTGATGTATACACGATGTCACAGGAATCAAGTAGAGGCAGTATGGTAGCTTTTATCAATTCCAAACGGAACATAGGGTGCAAGCAGTGTTTGTGTCGATAGAGAAAACCAATTTATATTTTTTGTCTTTTTACCAATATAATCAATGTCATCTTCAAAATTCAGTTTTGAATCCAGGATGACCCCAAGATACTTATAGATCTTGACTTGCTCTATTTGATAATTATTTAAGGAATGTAATTGGGGAAAATAAATTTCTGCTTTAGTCCTGGTGAGAAGCGTAGCACCTTGGTTTTGGAGGTATTCAGGACTAGTTTAAGAGCAACTAGCTGATGTTGTAGTTTATTGAAATCACCCTGATGCTTAGCAATCACGTCATCCGGAGAGCGGCCAGCAGTAATCAGTATCGTGTCATTTGCAAAAAGATTTACCCTGGAATGATCCAGGTTAGTGCCCAAGTCATTGACATAAAGAGAGAACAAGAGGGGGCCGAGGATGGAATCCTGTGGAACCCCTTTTGTTATCTTAACACTGCTTGACCTCCAACCATCTGTGAATACAGTTTGGGTGCGAGAAAAGAGGTAATTCTTTAACCATTTTACTGCGTTTTCGGGTAAACCGAGGAAACTTAGTTTACTAACCAGGGTGTTGTGGTCTACTGTATCAAAAGTTTTGGACAGGTCAAATAGACTGGCGCAGTACTGCTTATTATCAAGGCTACTGAAAATGTGATTTAGATAGTATAATGCAGCAGATGTGGTGCTGTATTTTTTTTGGAACCCTAGATTGGTTTCGATATAATAGATTGTTGTCGGACAGGAAACTGCTAATTTTTTAGTTCAATAATTTTTCAAAAAATTTCATAAACGGGGACAAAATTGAGATAGGTCGGTAGTTATTTGGATCATAGTTAGGGCCCCCTTTGTAAAATAGACGGACATAGGAATGTTTCCATTCTAGAGGAACTGATGCTTCTTTGATGGACATGTTGAAAATATGGGCTATAGGTTCATATATTAGGTGACCAACAGTTAGTAGAGCAAAGACGGGAATTCTATTTGCTCTGGTAGAGGACCCTTTGATGTAGGACATTTGTTTCAGAACATTACTTTCGTTGATTGGCTGGAAACTTAATTTGCTTAATGTTCGGACAGGAGTGTAGGAATTTGAATGAGCAGGGGTGACTCCCAATAGATTGTCAAAAAGGTTACCAGCTTCAGAAAAATGAAGGTTAAAATTGTCAACAATTTTTTGGGGATCTGAAAAATATTCCCCATTTCGGTTAAGCTCAACGGGCAGCTTATCTGTTTTGGATGCCTTTTCGATACATTTGATTGTTTTCCAGAAAATCCTGGCATTTCCATGTGATACCAGGAGAGTGGAGGAAAAGTAGATATTTTGGCATGCCGTATTTTTGTGATGCATCTTTTCCTTATAATCCTGTATTCTAGCCAGTCATTGACCAAATTACTGTTCTGAGCACATGTCCAAGCCTTGTCCCTAGTTTTCATGAGCTTTGTAACCAAAGGATCAAACCATGGTGGGCGGTTGCCTTTAGTTGTAAATCTAACCAACGGAGCATGTTTGTTAAGAATTTGGAGAAACGTGTACCTGACGGTCTCCCAAGCTGTAGTCAGGTTGGGGATATCACAGACCTTGTCAATATCCGAGTGAAGTACATCATTAGTAAATGCCTGAGTGCTGAAGTGTCTTATAGAGTGCTTCTCAACCAATTTAGGGGGGGGGGGGGGGGTTTGGGTCTGGCTGATGATCTCACCCCCAAAATGAAGCAGTGATCACTAAGGTTATTACCCAGAACACCAGTCAGTGGGAAATTGTGAGGGGTATTTGTCAATAAGACGTCAAGCAGAATTGACTGTCCCGGATTTTTTAGGTTGGGTCTTGTGGGGACATTTATTAATTGAAACAGGTTAAAATGATTTGCAAAATTTGTGGCCACGGCCGGCGGGTTTAGCCAATTCCAATTTAGATCACCCAGTAAAACTATTTCACCTTTAGGGAGGCCCATAAAAAGCTCTCTCAGTGCAGATGCAGCCTAAATACCCTTCCCACTTGGCGGTATATAGCAGCACACTACAAATATCTGTTGATTATTTGGGAGAGTTATTCTGAGAGCCAGACCTTCAAAGCAACATTTTTTAAACAGGAGTGAGCTGGTGAACATGCAATAGTATTACGAACATAGATGGCAATTCCACCTCCTTCAGATCCTCGGTAAAGCCGAAAAAGGTTGTAGTTGTCAATCGTAATGTGCAAGTAATTAACGGCAGGAGTGAAAAATGTTTCTGTTAGGCAAAAAATGTCCGGGTCAAGATTTGCCACTTCTAGTTTACGTTGACTTAATTTAATCACAAGCTCTCTGATGTTGACATGTAGAACACCAACACCTTTCCTGCCAAAAAAATCTACAGAATTATACGAGTTGTTTATATTTGGGCCAGGATGAAGCTCAATACCACCCAGAAATAAGAAAAGTAGAATTAATAGTTTGCACAAGTATTTTCTGTGAAAGGATGAAGAGCGGTGAACCTTGGACGAATAGCAGCAGCTCGCAGATGGTGTTATTTTTAAGAGCAGACTGAAGTTTGGAAGGAGTGCTGGTGAAGTAATGGGACAAAGATAGGGTTTAAAAGGATACAATGATGGAGTATAGAAGTGTCTATGAGCTGTTTCATTTGCAGGTGTAGTGGCAAATCGAGCAACAAGTATGGACGCAAAGTGACGAGGGTAGCCGTTTGTAGAGTTGAGTGTGGCACTAGATATGGCGGGGAGGGACAGCAGTAGGATACACAGCAGGAGAATTGCCATCTTTAAGATAACAAAGATCCACAACAGTTAACACACACAAGTGAAAAATGTACAGGTAGGTCGAGCGCGAGTAATGTCTTGCCACACTCGTCGCACATGAACGGCTTCTCGCCCGTGTGCTTGAGTTTGTGGTGGCGGTCAGCTTCAGGTCACGAGGTTGACTAGCCGTTCAAATTCTTGCTGTTTGTGAGCACACCTTGGTGCATTGCTATTTATCTACGCTAGCGTGCATGTGACCGAACATGTCACTCTTTTTTTTTCCAACAACAACGGAGGGTGGAGGAGCGATGCTCACAACAATGAGCGGAGCGCCGGGTAGCTAAAGCACAGCAAGTTGACACAGTAGGAGGCACAGGTGGTGCATCAGCCAGTCATCTCAGTCAGTCGACCCGTGGCACCTGGGTCTGCCCCGTGACCTCCTGCCAGCGGGCGTTCGACACTTCACGTGGCCTCAAGGTGCACATGGCCTGGCACAAGCGTCGTGGTGACGTCACCGCCACGGTTGTTGTTGTCTGAGTGTGTGTGTGTGAGTGAATGTGTAATTGTAACTGGATGCGTAGCCGGGTGTGGGCTGCGTGGCACCCGAGGGGTGCTGAGCTGTCACCTAACCGGCTCTGCCGGGGTGCGAGGATTTGTTGGCTACAAAACCCGCGGCAGATCGTGCTGTCTGCCTGGCCTGGAGCCACTGCGCCTCACTGAGCATTGAACCGTCTCTGCTGCTGCTGCACCAAGGAATGAGCCGTGGACATTGTGGGAACCCCCTCCCTCGGATTGGTGACCTTGTAGAAGGACCCTTTCAAACGCAGTGACGCGTTTTTATCCGTTAGTAAGCAAAACGGACGAGTCCAGGCCGTGTGTTCAGTGTAATCCAGTTCGCATTTTCCCACGAGTCCGCCTGGGGCGGAGAGTCCAAGGCATTCGTTATCTGCTGTGAACAACCCGCAGAGCCCAAGAGAGCGTCTCCACGTTCAAGTAAGCGTTTAGAGTGCAGTATTTAGATTATATGACTGCTATAAATTTCCAACATGAGCCACTTTGTTGAGCTATCATTTGTAATGGGTAGGTCGCTTCTGAAAAATAAGCTAATATTTCAGTGGGCTTTACCTGGTGAAATAAAACATAGTTTAGTTTTATTGCTTTTTCTTTTACCATCATGGTGAACGCCGATGGGCATTTGTGTTGCTGCATGTGCATGCGCGTTGAGTAACCGTGCGTGTGAATGTGAAACAACAACGCAGGTGAAGTAAGCGGTGGGTGCGGCTGTGAATGCCCGGCACGGGGATCTGCAGTGAGGGTGAGAGACGGTGACATCCCCAGCAGTGGGTGATGGAGGCAGGTAGAGTTGGTGATAGATTCACACTCCTAACAAATGGCTCAAGATTCCAGGATAAGTCACGGGAGACTACAGGTATTTTTTTTTTCTGATGCCACGATGACATTCAAGCAACTTGTCACGTTAGGGTAATTACACGGAGATGGAGTTACAAGAAATCATGAGATATCTACAACTATACCGTACAATATATTTTAATTATAGCAGGTAAGTCTCACTGAGCTGTGTGGCTCTTTTTCAGGAACGACCTGACCACAAATTATGGCTTATCACGTGGAAATGTATTGCAGCCAACTACTCTAAACACGTGATGTTGATTGTAAATGAGGAGGGGAAAAACCGGAGGATCCGGAGAAAATTCACGCGACCACGGAGAGAGAGAGACGCAAACTTTAAATATAAACCAGGCGTCAGGATTTGGATGACACCCACCACCACTTGTATACCTGGTGAGGGAGATAACATCTTGACCCCAACTTGCTGTCGAAGGATGATTTCATCTCTCAACACTCATCTCAAGAATGAACGACCGCAGCTGAACCTCACTGCTTTATATTAACAACAGGACTAATTTCTATAAATGTCAAGGTGTGTGCAGTAGCCGTGTTCACCTTGAGGCTGCTGTTTGCGCACCTCGGGGCGCCGGTTCACACTCCAGGGAATGTCTCGTGATGTCAGTGACGACAATGAAAATATTGTAAGTATTTTACTTCCTTCTTCACCCTCGCTATAAGAGAGAGGTCCTGGTCCAGCGTCTCTCTGAGCCACACAGCGAGTGATCCCAGCGAAGTAATGGGTCATGGCGAGCGCGACTCCCAGTGAGAGTGTGGATAGTGAGCTCAGCTGCTCCATCTGCCTGGACACATTCGTGTGCCCCTCCACGCTGAGCTGCGGACACTCGTTCTGCCTGCGTTGCCTGGAGACCGCCTGGGAGACGGTGAGCAGTTTCAGCTGCCCGCAGTGCCGAGCGACCTTCCCTGTGCGACCCCAGCTGAGGAGGAACGTGGCCCTCGCCAACCTGGTGGACCAGCTCAGAGTTGGAGACGGGATGGCCACGGCAGTCGTGTGTGACAACTGCGCTGACGGCCAAACTCCTGCAGTGAAGACCTGCGTGAGATGCGAGACGTCCTACTGTGCGACGCACTTGAAGCGTCACGTGGAGAATCCCAGGCTGAGAGAACACCTCCTGGTGGCTCCCATCGCGTACCTGGAGGAGCGACGGTGCCGGGAGCACAGCGAGGAGCTGAAATTCTACTGCACAGTAGACAGCAGCCTGGTCTGCTCAACTTGCAGCACCGCAGGTGAACACATAGGACACAAGGTCCTGACGCTGAAGAACGAGCACGAGACACGGAAGGTGAGGCCGTCAGATTGATACACCGCAACACGATATGACTAATTCTGTAACTGGGATTCACAACATCTGATGAAAAAACGTAATTGTGTGTTCATTCTTGATTCGAAGCGTTCGTGACTGCAGGAATCCATACTCTTTGGTTATTTCGGTAAAGTCACGTAGGTAGACAAAAATAAAAGATCACGACGTTTAGAAACAAACCCAGCAGTCCTCCTGCTGTGTTTGTTTCACACCTGATGGTGGTTGCTTATGTTGTGATCGAAACGTCGTTATCTATATTTTTTTCTTACCTACGTGACTTTACCGAAAGAACCAAAGAGTGTGTTCATGCTCTCTCTTTTAAATATCTGTCTCTGCCTGTGTCGAAATCTCCTGCTTGCCGTTTTAGGATACAGCCTCAGGATGTATTTCATGCCAGGCTCTCACTAAACATAATTCCCATGTAAAGGAATTAAGTGAATACAGATGTGAGACTGATATCACAGCCACCTGATAGACAATTCTATAAAATTTATTTTTTAAACGAGACAGCTGTGGGCACATGGGCTCTTGGGTCTGAGTCGGTATGGACACCAAGCCAGCACGGCTCCCACCGGCTGCTGCTACAACGAGGCATCAGCTTGCCCACTCCCCGTGCCCCCCGTCTCAATCGCTGTAGAGATGCAGCATGGAGATGAGGGCCTTCGCTGTGGAGGGGTCGGTGTGGAGGGAAGGGCGGTGTGAGGGGTGGCTCAGGGGGCTAGAGTCTCCCCCTGGTGAGGTCTCGTCTTTCACTACAGACGCGCGTAGGGTATGAGACGCGAGCCATGGAGGAGAAGAGGAAGGAGGCGGATGAGTCCGTGAAGCGGATGGAGGCCACTCACAAGGAGGCGCAGGTACCGTGTCCGGGCCGGGCTCTTTGGCCCCCGTGACCTCCATCCAGTGTGGAAGTCGTGGAGGTCAAAATGCATTCAAGCGAACTTCGTGCAGCTTCATAACTTTGACACCTCTTACTGTAATTATATCATTCACTTTCAAACTAAACATTAACTACAAGTGGTTTGCACATTTACCACATTCGGTAGCCGCACTGGCGAGTCTGCTGCGAGGTTGGGTTACTCGGCATTGCGTCTTCCACCCCTGTGGCAAAAAAAACATCTAGAGAGTGCCACAGATTGTCGGAGTGGAGCTGTGGTGCAGCTGTTGCACTGAACTGGAGGTCGTGCAAGGCACTGACGCAGAGGCAGAAACACCGCACAGCTGCACCTCACACCGTCCCTAATCGTGTCACCAGGGTCTATTCTAACTACAACTATTTTTATTTTACGAGGTAAGGCCCCACTGAGCCACATAGATTTTTTGAGACGCAATCCTGGTTGTCACAAATGATAGCAACTCGACAAGTGCCTGACATCATCATCACGTGAAAATATATAGCAGCAGACCCATCGAGATATATAGAGACCCATAGAGATACATAGAGACCCACAAAGATGCATAGAGACCCCTAGAGATACATCGAGACCCATCGATTCAACTATTTTTATTTCTTTTCTAGATTTGAAGCTTTCGTGACTGCAAGTATCCATACTCTTTGGTTCCATTCGGTAAAGTCACGTAGGTAAAAAATAAAATAAAACAATAAAAATAAAAATCACGACGTTTCGGCCACAACACAAGTGGCCTTCATCAGGTGAAGGGACTGGACTGTCCAGAGGACAGCGTTGGAGTGAAAACAGCTAAGCTCAGGTCGCGTCCTTTAAGCTGTGTGGGAGGAAACAAAGGCGCCTTGACAAAGGAATTAGCATAACAATGAGAATGATGTAAGTAGGAGGTACATGATGGACCATGATGGACCAGACGCGGGGGGGACCATGATGGACCAGGCGCGGGGGGAGGGGATTTTACATAATGTTGGTGTGAAGGGTAATAATCAGCTATGAAAGTTTGGGATATCACTACTTGAAAAAAAATATACTGTACCATTGAAAATTAGTTTAATGTTTGGATCCACTGAATCATGTAGCTCTTTTGCAGACAGAACCTGAATATCACAAATTATAGCTCAATGAAATGGCTTATCAGGTGGAAATTGATTGTATCAAATACTGTACTCTAAACGCCTGCTTGAACCTGGAGACACTCTTGGGCTCTGTGGGTTGTTCACAGCAGATAACGAATGCCTTGAACTCTAAACCCGGGTCAGATTCGTGGGATAACCTGACCTGGATTACGCCGATTTAAAATGTGGAAGGAAAAGCCACAGGACTTGGGGAAAAATCCACGTGACCACAGGGAAATATACGCAGACTCGAAATATGCAGAAATAATTATCGTCGAGATCGAACCCACGACTACCTGTATACCAAGTGAGATAGTCAACATCTCGCCACATCTCGTCGGACCCACGAGGGGGCCCCCACCGTACTCCGAGTGCCCGAGTCTCAACATCCACGACCTCAGCGCCCTCTAGGAGAGAAACAAGAAGAGTACGGCACCCGTCTTGCCCCCTTGGCATGGATCGACTCGGTCCCATGGGCGACTTGTCACTGAGGCATGATTCACCACTAGTGAATGTTATTTATTATTTTACCAGGTAAAGACCACTGAGCTGTGTAGTTATTTTTCAGAAGTGACCTGGCAATCACAAATTACAGATCAACCAAATGACTGACATCATCATCACGTGGAAATATATAGCAGCAGCCAGATATACATAGAGACCCATATCGCTATTCACCCATAGAGATACTAGACCCATAGAGATATCAAAGACATGCAGAGAGATACATAGGCACCCATAGAGATACAGTGAGATCCCGAGAGAGACATACAGACCCATAGAGATATTAGGCCCATAGAGACTCATAGACAGCCATAGAGCTCCATAGACTAAACTATATTTTATTTTACCAGGAAAGGTTATTTGTCAGAAGCGACCTGGCGATTATAAATGATAGCTCAACAAAGTGGAAGATTGTAATGTTGAAATTGCTAGCAGCCAAATACTCTAAACGCGTAACGTCGATTCTAATTGTGGAGGCAATAACCGGAGGACCCAGAGAAAAATCCATACGACTACAGAGATAGTTCCAAATATACAGGTGTCATGGTCAGGATCGAACCACGACCTGCTGTATACCAGGCAAGGGAGTCAACATCTTCTAGCCACCGCGGCGCCCACATGCACACACAGAGTGACTTATGGCTCAGGGAGCCAACCGTGGTCCCCGCGTCTCCACAGGAATCGGTAGCCGGGATCAGAGGTCGCATCACGGGCAAGTTCGCCCGCCTAAGGAAGGCTCTGGACGAGGACGAGAGGGAGGCTCTACGTCGCGTGGCCGTGAAGGAGCGCGAGCTCCTGTCCCGGATTGAGGAGGACATCGCTCGTCACAAGCGAGAGATCAGCGAGCTCCAGGCAGCGGCCGCTCGCCTGCGCGCCCTGCAGCACGAGACGGACTCGCTCACCTTCCTGCAGGTGGGGAGCGCCACTGTGGAGATGGCGTTTGGGTGTCCAGAACAACAGAGCGGGCAGTGGCAGAGGGACTCGTGGTGCATGGGTAGAGACGTCACTCATGATCCCTGTCTCTCTCTTCAACAGGGGCACCTGGACGAGACGCGCAGGTACAGATCCTTAATATCTCACTGTTAAACACTCACAACACACGGGCTGTGTGCGTTAGACACACGTGCTTTGTGTGTTAGACAGGGTGTGTTTGTGTGTGTGTTAGACATGCAGGCTGTCTGAGACACTGACTGTGTTTGTGACACGGGCTGGTGGTGTGAGACACGGGCTGTGTTTGAGACACGGGCTGGTGGTGTGAGACACGGGCTGTGCGTGAGACACTGGCTGTGTGAGACACGGGCTGTGTGTGTGACACGGGCTGTGTGTGAGACACGGGCTGTGTGTGGGGCACTGACCATGCGGGAGACATGGGCTGTGTGTGAGACACGTGCTATGTGTGCTATGTGTGCTGTGGTTAAACGAGGCTGTGTGTTATGCTGTTGGTGGTTGTCCCAGGAGAGAGATCCCAAAGGAATATGCACCCCCACCTCCCACTTCACTGGACGCCACCACGGTCCTCTCCCTTGAAAGGGTCGTGAACAGATTCCTGCCTCTCGTCTGTGAGTTCCTCAGTCTTTCACCCGCTTGCCCCACTGTGTTGCACTGCACTTCTGTGCTCCCCGCCTTCATCAACTTTTCATTTTATTTTACCAGGTAAGGAACCCACTGAACCATGTCGCTTTTTTACAGAAGCGACCTATCACAAATCACAGCTCTGCGAAGTGGCTCCTCGTTGAGCCAATACTCTGAATGCAAATTGATTCTAAACGTGGAGGGGAAAACGCGAGGAACCAGGGGAAAATCCACTCCACAACGGGGAGAGAGATGCAAACTCTGAAAGAGAGCGACATGGATCAGTGGGCTCTACTTAATGAAATAAAATTAGTTTAACAGTTTCAATATTCGACTAAACTAAACTGCTGTTGACCCGAGGAAAGTGCTGTTAGCGATCAGCAGCAGCAGCTATGAAGTCCAGCACGTCACACGAGGGGGTGGGTGGCCAGCACCACGCCCGGCCGCCTTTGTCTCCCTCCTGCCGAATGTTTACACATCACACCAGCAGAGGGCAGTGCAGCGTTAACCATTGTACTGCACCTGTACGCTTCTACGTTCACGATCCCCACCATCACCAACGCGCACCGATGAGAGCGGTAAAGTATGGTCAAATAACCCCCCCACCCCCCCCCCCCCTAGGATGCGCACGGCGCGGGGAAGCGCTCATCCAGCAGCGGAGTGACACACAACGTCTGTGTGTGGATGTGAGAGTGTGCGAGTCTGTGACACACAATGTCTGTGTGTGTGGATGTGAGAGTGTGCGAGTCTGTGACACACAATGTCTGTGCGTGGATGTGAGAGTGTGCGAGGCTGTGACAGACAATGTCTGTGTGTGGGTGTGAGAGTGTGCGAGGCTATGACACACAATGTTGTGTGTGGGTGTGAGAGTGTGCGAGGCTATGACACACAATGTCTGTGCGTGGATGTGAGTGTGCGAGGCTATGACACACAATGTCAGTGTATGGGTGTGAGAGTGTGCGAGGCTGTGGTGGCTGTGGTACAGGCGTCGTGTTTATAGAGAGACGCTGTGAGAGTGGCGTTCACATCATGGTGCTGGCATCATCACTGCTTAATTCTAGATTTGAAGCTTCCGTGACTGCAAGGATTCATATTCTTTGGTTTTATTCGGTAAAGTCACGTAGGTGAAATAAAATAAATAATTAAATCGCCCCGGTGTTTACAAATTGAGTTGTATCTGCGGTGACTGCTATATCGGAGAGACAAAATGAGATATTTCTGACCGAATCCGCGAGCACAAATCAGATTTAAACACGGCAGAACCAATTCGTCTGCCGTGGCTGATCATTGTCTCAACACAGCGGGTTCCCATGAGATTGCTTTCTCCGACACCAAAGTACTATGCAAACTTCCCGGTTATCACCAAACATTTGTCTATGAGGCCATCCAGATATACAAACATAGACACAACTTCAACCGAGAGGGTGGTTTTAAATTAAGCAACCACTGGAAAGATGTCATGAACCAAGTCAAAACTTTAGCTTCCTCATAAGCACACAGCAGATTCTTTCCGAACGTTTCTATTTTTCCTTTTTTTCCATTGCCCCCGTGCAGTGACTCATCCCCCGCACCCTCAACATAACAAAAGACGGATTAACTCAGCCCCGCACCCCATCAAGGTCCCCTACTTGGTTCCTCCTCCCCCCCCCCCCCCTTAACCTGTATTTAATCTCGAGGCTCTCAGAGCCTCCCCACAGTTCCACCTGAAGACGGAAGCTTGTGTTGCCTCCGAAACGTGGTGATTTAATTGTTTATTTAATTTTATTTTACCTTCGTGACTTTACCGAATAAAACCAAAGAATATCATCACCGCTGTTCACTACCACTGCACACACACACACATTGTCATGTTAGTGTAGTACCATTAATGAGTTATTATTTATTATTATTCACTAATAATTATTCACAAGTGATTAGCAGTATGTGTACATTTATACTAACGATATTAGTATATGTACACTGATACTAACGAATATTAGTATATATGCACTAATACTAACGATTAATAGTATATGTACACAAATACTAACGAATATTGGTATGTGTAGACAAATACTAACGAATATTCATATTTTATAAACTAATACTAACAAATATTCGTATATGTAAATTAATACTAACGAATATAAGTTTATGTATACTAATACTAACTAATATTAGTATGTGTACACTAATACTAACGAATATTAGTGTGTCCACTAATACTAACGAATATTAGTGTGTGTACACTAATACTAACTAATATTAGTATGTGTACACTAATACTAACTAAAATTAGTGTGTGTACACTAATACTAACTGATATTAGTATGTGTTCACTAATACCATCTAATATTAGTGTGTTTACACTAATACTAACTAATATTAGTGTGTGTACACTAATACTAACTGGTGTGTGTACACTAATACTAACTAATATTAGTGTGTGTAAACTAATACTAACTAATATTAGTGTGTGTACACTAATACTAACTAATATTAGTGTGTGTACACTAATACTAACTAATATTAGTATGTGTACACTAATACTAACTAATATTAGTATGTGTACACTAATACTAACTAATATTATTATGTGTACACTAATACTCACCACAGATGGACGCTCACCGACTCTGGACACAAACTCAGCCCACGACCACCTCCAGATTTCTGCGGATCGCAGGACAGCAACGTGGAGCGGTGTCCCCCAGCGTCGCCCCCATCACCCACACCGCTTTGATGTCTGGGACCAAGCGCTGTGCTCTGAGAGCTTCTCGTCGGGTCAGCACTACTGGGAGGTGGACGTGGGGAGCGCGGGGCGGTGGTGTCGGGTTGGAGTCGCATACGTGACGATCCCACGGAGAGGGAATGGTGCTGAGTGCCGCCTGGGAGAGAGTGACGTCTCCTGGTGCCTACGGAAAGATGGCGACAGCTTCTCAGTGTGGCATGGCGGGGTAGAGACGTCACTGTCGGTGCTGGAGCCTCCGTGGAGAGTCGGGGTCCATCTGGATTGGGACGCAGGGGTGCTGTCGTTTTACAGCGCCGACTCCATGGTGCCATTACACTCGTTTCAACAAACATTCACTCAGCCCCTACATCCTGGGCTGCTGGTGGGGTGGGGTAAAGTTGGTGCCTCAGTGAGGATTGTGGATCTGAGTGGTGCGTCCTGAGATAGGTGAACGTGCCATGCCCGTGACTGGCTGGTGACTGTCACGTGACTAGTGTAGGGGTAAAGTGATTAGCAATGAATTTTGATTTAAAGCTTTCGTGACTGCAGTAATTCATATTCTTAGCTCTTTCGGTAAAGTCACGTTGAAGGGAAACAATAAAATAAAAAAATAAAACAATAAAAATTCTCACGACGTTTCGACCATAACACAAACGGTCATCATCAGGTGTGTTGGTTTGCAGGTGTGTCGGTTTGCAAACCGACACACCTGATGACGACCGTTTGTGTTATGGTCGAAACGTCGTGAGAATTTTTATTGTTTTATATATATTTTATTTTATTGTTTCCCTTCAACGTGACTTTACCGAAAGAGCTAAGAATATGATTAGCAATGATGAACTGGGATGTGTTTATGTACTGGTGGTGTCATGGGCTGTGAGAGAGACACAACAACAATCATTTTTATTTTAAAAAGTATAAATATATGCATACGACAGTGGCGTTGTAACGCTTGTATCGTCGATTCTACAATAAAAAATACAGAACACAAACAACATCAACAACAATGTAATTACATCATGGGACCTCCTTTGCCAGTACCAATATGTGAGAATCGGTTTTCCCCTATTTTCTGGCAGCAAAATAGCTGTTAAGATGTTAATACACCAAACTGAAACCTTTTACAAAGAATAATGACTGCATTAACCACAATACTTGTGGTCAGAATGCAAACAAAAAAATACTGTGATAATATATGCATTGTTTTTAAGGACTTAACACCTGTTTTGTGGCCAGAAAAAAGGGGAAAATCTCTTCTCATATTTTGGTCCTGGCAACGGAGGTTTAGCTGCTCTACCCGAGCTCTCATTACTCTGATGGTGGCATTGTCTTTGAGTTGTAACACCTTTTGGCATCCTCTGGTGTAACACCGTTTTGAGACGAGGCTCTAAAGAAAGTTGTCTCTGGTGTGGACCAATCAGTTTCAAAGACAATGCCACATACATTGTCAGAGTGTTTTGTTTCTGTGCACTCTGACTAGAGGCCGACGGAAATTCGGTTTCGGTTTCGGCGCCAAAAGTTGGCAAATGGCCACTTTCGGCATACTTTCGGATTCGGCCGAAAGTCAATTTTAAACTTTCAGTTTACTTTCGGTTTCGGCCGAAACTGATATTGACTTTCTGTCCTCAACTGAAGATCTATTTTTAGATATAACGCTAGTGCTAAGTCTATCACTGCCTATCGGCCAGTCAGTCGGCGCTAGGCAATCCTATGAGATAGGCTGCAAACACACACACGTCAGCAGCAGCAGCTTGGGAGCGAGGTTACAGCCGCAACGATGGTCTGCTAATGTCAACAGACGGCAGCCTGCATCTGCATCCGTGGGTGGAGTCTCTTTGGCGGGACGACAACAAAGTGCCTCTATTGTCTGTTCCCAGCCACCTGCCCGCCTTGGCTTATGTGTTGCATTCGCTTAAGTCTACACGCGTGTTGATATCGAGATTCGAATTCTGCCAATATTGATATTCAGTTAGTTAATAGTTCCGTAGCGAATTAGTGATAACGAAATTACGAATCTGTGTGAAGTAGAAAATAAAAGTTAATAAACGGAGCAGTTAATCACCGTGAAGAATGTCGAAACATGCGGTGTGGGATTACTTCACTAAAGTCGATTCTGATCAAAGCAAGGCGCAGCAACCTTCTGGGCGAGAATGCAGAAAAACTGTTCTTTCTTAACTACAATATTCGTTTGTTTGGATATAATTACTAAGTAAGTAACACCTAAATATTTTATATTTAGCGACTATTACTGCAGGCTCTGAATTATTAGTTCTAGATTTCTTTTTAATTAAAGTAGCATTGCATCATGACATATTTCATGAATCTTGTGTTCGGTAACTTCGGTTATATACCGTTCTGTTTCGGTCTCGGTCGAAAGTGTAGTTCAACTTTCGGTTTCGGCTTCGGTTTTGGCCGAAAGTCAATATTTAACTTTTGGTCTGGTTTCGGCCAAAACCGACCGAAACTGAATTTCTGGTTTCGGCTGAAACCGAAACCATAAATTCAGTTTCGGTCGGGCTCTAATTCTGACCACAAGTATTGTGGTTAATGCAGACAAGATTCCTCGTAAAAGGTTTGGTGTTTTAACATTTCTACACCTGTTTTCTTGACAGGAAAAAGGGGAAAACCTATCATCAAACAATGTAGCTGTGGACAGGGTCATTCGTGCTCACTGTATCCCGCAACGCTGTTCATTAATTAAATACGAGGACCAAATCCTTTACACAGCCACTGCCAACCAAATAAAATATACAAATTAAACATATATAAAAAAAGTCTACGTGCGCTCGCACTTGCGGGGGATTTGGCTCTCGGACAGTGGGATTTAGGTAGAAAACAGTTTGCCAGGCTGCAAGACCTAAGCCCCGCGATGGGAATAGGCTGTTCCGTTTTCCCATCCGTAAACTTTAAAGTACTTAAATTAGCACATCTGTGCCGTTTCTTTATTTAATTATTTACGTATTGCACGCCATCGACCGTACCAACTGACGACAATTACGTGAGGGGGGGGGGGGGGGCGGCCCCTGTCAAATGATGCGCGTTTGTTCGAGCTCACGGGGGACATTTCCTTTTACATGCAATACATTCACACAACGCTGCGGATATTTCTTCAATGTGATTTCCTCTTCGCTCCCCCCCTCCCCCTCCAACACGATGCGTCCAGTTTATACTACAGAGTCCGTAAATAATATTTTAGTGATCACCCATTGAAATTTTGCCGTACAGCACCTTTACTTTTCACCAAACCCAGGACCACGCAGGGAGGTTCAATCCCATAAATATTGTTGACCTTGCTTTCTTATGGTGGGTGAGGAACATTTTGAGAGAGGCATTGTTCTCCCATACCAAGAAAACACCATCACACGATATCCTGACACTAACAGAGCATACGATGCCCTACAATAACACATTTTCCTGTCGCAAGCCCAAGATGGGTAACTCGTCAAGATTCCTCCAATTACAAAGCTGCACGACAAAGACATCCTCACGAAACTGTCTCCTATTTTTTTATATTCCTTCGTAATCATGGACAGAAGAGGAAACCACACATTATTATGCGCCAACCTCTTTCACCAGTATGTTGTTGATGATCATGCCAACATTGAGAGTGAGCACCTTCTTTACATTCAACTGAATGAAAACCGCCTGCGTGTGAACAGTATGCTCATCTCTGGAATGCCATCAATGCCAAAGGAGATGCAAACGGTCACAATGTGGGCTGATTAGTTATTTTGCCTTCATCCTTCACAGCTCCACCAAGATACATGCATGAGAAGATTCAGGATGCGATGACGTACATCAGTCAATATGCCACGCCGCATCTCTTCATCACATTCTCTTGCAATCCCAAATGAAAGGAGATCCAGGTTTAATTTTATCCAAACCAAAAGCCACCAGACAGACATGACATCTTAGCGAGGGTCTTAAAACTCAAAGTTTATAACCTCATGATGATTATTACGACCAACGAAGGCAGCGTCTTTGCAAAGACAAGCAGCACCTTGCACACCATTGGGTGTCAAAAACGTCGTCTTCCTCATGCTCACATTTCCCTATGGATGAGGTAAACAATTCATGCAAGTCACATTGACACATTTATCAGTGCTGAGCTACCTCACCCCCATAAAGACACTGCCCTTTTCCTATGTGGTCTGCAACCAATGGTCCATGGCCCATGTGGCCAGTTCTATCCAAATGCACCATGTATGCAAGACCAGAGGTGTTCGAAGAGGTATCAATGCAACTACTTGAAACACACTCAGTCGGCCCATTTTGGCTATCGTTTATATCGTCACAGAGCTACTGGACATGGTATATTTCAAATTATGCTCAGACCTGCCACTAACTCGCTAATTAAGGTTCACAACCAGTCGATTGTTCCCTACTACCCTCTCCTATGCAAGATCTTCCAGGCCCATTTTAATGTCAAATTCTGCTATTCTAAAAAAAAACATCAATATTCTTCGCCAATAAATTAACAAAGGCTCTGACATGCCTGTCTTTGCCTTACAAAACAGAGAGACAACGTGTGCATGACATCAAACTTTTTTTTCCAACGAACATACATCAGCAACAATGGGGCCATTTGTTAAATTCTTGCCTTCTCCATCCATCACCGTTCCCCCACAGTCGTCCATTTGCCACTTAACCTCCAAAATGGTCAACTCGTAATAATAAGGTTTTTCCCCTTTTTTTCTGGCAACAAAACTGAAACTTTTTACAAGGATTCATGTTACTGCATTAACCACAATAACTGCAGTCAAAATGCAAACAAAAAACATAAGGGCTGGGTCGAAAAAGATGGCAAGCTACCTTTTTTGGATGTCCTAATACAAAAGAGACCTGATGGTTCAATGAGCCACTCTGTCTACAGGAAAGCTACCCATACGGATGCTTACCTAAAACTGGATTCTCACCACCATCCATCACAGAAGAATTCCCTCATCAAGACTCTACACCATAGAGCCCAATGCATCTCCGACCAGGAACACATTGCCAGTGAACTCAAGCACGTACACCAAGCTCTCAAGGCTAATGGTTACTCTGACTACACAATCCGGAAAGCCATCACTCCAACCATGAAGAAGGACCCTCTTGAGGAGCCATTCAAAACCATCACCTTACCCTACATTGCAGGGGTCACAAAAAAGATCTCCAAAATCTTGAAAAAAACCCACAAGATCAAGGTCCGATTCAACACAGTACATAAAATCCGTGATCTGGTCCTGTCTGTAAAATATGTGATTCCAGACATACAGTACTCTGGCGTCTACAAACTAAGTTGCCTCTGTGGAAGCCGTTACATTGGAGAAACCAAACGAGATGTCTCGGACCGCATCCGTGAACACAAAGCAGACCTAAAACACAGTAGGACCAATACTTCAGCCGTGGCAGACCATTGTTATAATTCAGTGGGCTCACATGACATTGACTTCTCCAAGACAGAGGTTCTCTGCAAGCCATCTGGCTACCATAAGAGATTCGTTCATGAGGCTATCCACATATACAAACACAGAGATAATTTCAACCGATAATATGGATTCTGGCTTAGCAATCA